GACAACGAAACAAAAGAGAAAAAGAGGAAAAAACAATGTGTGGTGGAAGAGTCAGTCAGTGTGGCAACAATAGAGTGAGGGTGGAGGGGAGGGCAGGAGAGGTGAATACGGAAATTCTAAGGTGTACACTCAGGCTCTCCCTCTCAGTCAATTTTGATGGCGGCATAAATCTTCCGCAGAAAAGTGAGCGCAGCGAAGAAGCCAATGGTGCCCGTCAGTATCCAGAAGGAGACAGACATCATGAGGCAGTAGGAGAAGTATATTATGGTCGAAACGAAACTCGTTATCTCCAGCTAAAGGAAAATGAAGACATCTTTGTTAGAAGAGAAGAAAAATGCCCCGATACTCCAGGCAATAAAACATATTGGTGCCTGGGGAAAAGACAATGTTCAGTCTACACAGTCGGTCTGGTCAGGCCTCGTTCGGCCAAATAGCCGTCGTTCTTCGCTGCCAACCCACTGAATTGCTCGTCACCCAACATTTGGCCACGTGCAACCGACTGCTAACTTCTGCTATGCACGGACATGCACCAGTCTACAGAAGTATGACCTGCTAAGAATGTGTGTCAGAAAATCTGATTTTTCTTAAAACAACGTCTTAACTTCTTGCTGCTTCCGACGGCGTGTTGGAGACAAATAAGAGACGTCAGGCGAATAAAATTATTTTCCTACAGATTTACAGTAGGTTGCCTATCGCATGAAATATCGAAATATAAATTTGAGGGGGTGGTAGGACACACAGGTAAGGTTGTTAATGTGGTCTGCTGAACTAATTTGAGGTACAGAAAGCTGTTTTGTGAAAAATATTATGCCAGAATTGGGCAAAACCCGACATTTCTAGGAATCAAAGTAATCGCCTACGCTATAGAAAATTACAGGTTAAAACCTTTTCCTTGTGCATCTTGTCCAACAAACGTAGACGACGAAATGTTATTTTTAGGTAAGCCTGCAAAGTCGACCCAGATGGGCATTTGCTGAAAAATTTTCTCAAAGAGCACATTGGGCAGACGACAACTTTCAGCAACAGTCGACAATTGATGGTTGTTAACTTTGGTGAGCTGCAATTCTGGCGGTCGACTATCGAAAATGATAACAAAAAGGTGTTTCTCGACATCGTAAAGAATGACTTCGGATTTAATGGTATCCATAGACGCAGAATGGATGCAATGAGTTTACACGATAATGCCCCCCCCCTTATCGATCTAAGGGAGCATGAAGGTTATAACGCCTGCAATTTAAATCTAACTTTTTGGCAACAACCAACCTCGCCCGCATGCGGCCTTTAATCTACTTTTGTGTCTGCCAACAGCCCAGATCTCAACCATACCCAGAATTTTCCTGGAATTATGAAGTGGGACGAGGCAAAGAGTAGTCATTTAGTGCAAGAAAACTTGATTTTGTGCCAAATAATCACAGCAAACAAACTACTATAGACTATCTGGTCATCGTAATATCTGGCAGACTTTATGCTGTTACTTATTATTTTCCTGCGAAATTAACTGCGGTCTATAGACAAGTACCTGTGCTGCCAGTATGGTTTAGAATGCAGACTTTATGGTGTCTTAAATTAAAATGGACAGCCAATTAATCTTTTGTATCTGTTATTAATTTTCATTACTTTTCTGTTTCCTTGCGTATATCTTGCCTGAGCAAATTTCTAGTTAGCCTTATTGGAGTATTTATTTTTTAAAATTCTAGTTTCTAAAGAAAAGCAATTTTTTTGTTAGTAAATTTTAATTTAGTAACCACACTGTCGTCTACCTTCACAGTGGTTGTTTCTTTATCGTTGGGTGATTTTTAAGGATGGAGCATAGGAGGATTTTATGCAACACGAATTTTCTTGTGAAATCCATGGGATTTCGTGAGTTGGGAAAGCTACTTTAGTCTCCTTTGCCGAGTGTACACAGCTAGCCTGGGTATGGGATCAAAGAATTGATACAGTGCTCAACACCAATGCTGGTGTGGCGTCTCCGTCCTATACGTAAGTAGAACAACTTCTTGATAGCTGGCGAACACAGTGAAAATTACACCAATATACCCATGACAAAATGCTAAGTCGAGTGGGAGGTAGCGTCACCTTTTGTAATAATATGCGCATAACGATGCTGAATCGACCGATATGGGTATAGCTACCGTATTAACCGGTTGACACGCGGAAAACAGAGACTTGAAGTTGTGGCCTCTTAAAACATTAAATGCACTGACTAAAGGCTGAATACCCAGCAGTACAAGTGCATTAAAGCAATACCGCAATGAAAATGACATAAAATTGGGCGGGTGCGGGACAAACAAAGGACACAAGTGGTGGTAATAATCTGCAGAATTTTAAAACAACCGGCACAATAAGTGGGGTATTGTGATTTAAGCGAACTGCAAAAGAAGGGTGAATGGTGCACAGTCACAAGAAATGACATAACGTACCTTTGTTACAAAGTAGTAGATCGAGTACAAGAAGACGTATAGGGCTGCCCCGCCAGAGGAAATGAATGCACGCCACCACCAATGGTAGTCCTAAAGTAGGGCGGGTTGGGGAAAGGGAATTAGAAACATAATTATTAACCAAGCATCACTGAGCAAATCCAATAAGCACCTAGGGTGAAGGCTAACAGTTTCGCGAGCCAATTGCTGCTCCTTAAATATCAGAGTTCGAGCAAACGAGGCAACTCTTATCAAGGGCGCCTTATAAGGTACACCATGCAATCTCCTGTGAAAAAGGGGTCAAATTTTAGTATTTCAATAGTATTCCACTGTTTGAATTCCATGTTATGAAGAGTGACAAGGAAGTTTCCGAACAACGGCACTTGAAGTGGGAAAATAATGTATGGGTGCATGTAGACTGTCTGAACAGAGTCTGAAAGTACTGCTACGAATGACTTCACAGAGGTCTGGCAATAGGTATAGTTTAAAGATACGGCGGTTAAGTGATGCCGCATTACACAACACAGAAGTATTTAATTAGTTTGCATTCAAGGAGGGTCAGAACCTAGATACAGGGTGCTTGTTCACCGCCAACAACCAGTTAGCGGGAATGCTGACCTAGAGTTTTAAGGTAAATGGAAATCCCCATTTCTGCGTTGACATCAGAGCAGATCAGGGGATACTACTTCCATGAGCTTTTAGTAACTTTGATCGATTCACCGAGAGGAAGAGATACTCCACACAAAAGTAATTTAAATCAAGCCAGTCATGGACAAGACCGTGTGCACCTGGGATCTATTTAAGCCGCAGAGCGCATTATCTGAAACAAATATCATTTAATAAACTCTCACCCACTGAATTCGGAAAAATCCGGTTGGTTATTGTGATTTCTAAAAGAGCCTCCTCTATCCGACAGACAGACCAGTGGTTGGACACAATTTTTGTGCCAACGGCCATTATAAGGACCCGTAAGAATCACCTTAACCCAATCTCGAGTAGAACAGGTAGTTCGCTCGAGCTAAGCAATTATTCAATGAGAAACGGACGCAGCCAATTTAAAAGAGCCTATTTTCTCTCGCACTTTCCTCGCAACAGGTCGCTAACACTGTTTTTCCCGTTGCCATTAGCTTCCGCTATAGCCAGAAACAGCAGACGCAGTGTTCTTAAGGCGGAAATGAGCTCACTTGTTTTACCATAAATCCCGACATGAACTGTCAAGACTAGGCGGTAAACTTCCGTTAAAAATTACGGCAGAGTGATTAACTTCGACTTGAGTGTGCGGAAACTACCGTTGCGTCAGTCTACAAAGGGGGATATAGGCAACTGGGCAAGAACTATCCTGACACAAGTCTGCTTTGCATAGGCGCCAAAGTCTGTACTTTATCTTCTCAG